TTGTAAATCAGTTAGCTTTCCACATATATTACAAATGAACTACTTCAAAGAATAAACATATTTTCTATACTAACAAGGAAGAACAAATTAACTTAATAATTTTCTCTTGGGAATATAATACTTTTGATATCCACAGAGAATTTGTAGATTATCTAAGTTTTTACCCTAAAAATTATCATCAATAATCTAGTTGATTTTAAATTTACTAAAACAGTTTGTTTTCTAATTTTAAACGTTGATGCCAATTCGACAATCTTAATTATTCTAAACTGCCCTAGGAATTACCATTTTTCACTTTTACCTACCAAACTTGCAGATTTATTTACCCTCCTGCTCAGGCAAGCTAGTCACAGCGACATACATGGGATCCAGAATCTAAAACAAATGCCTACAAGGGGCAGGAAGTTAATCACAGATTAATTAAGCAAGAATTACTGGGAACTATGGTGACTTGGGCAGATCATGCCCAATCTAAAAGGTACAGCCAATACACAGCTCAGCCAACTATTGCTCAGAAAGGTGACTCCCAAGTTGCTAGTATTCCTGTTCTCACAAAAGCCACAAATCTAGATTTTTATATAAAACATCTTGATTTTTAACTGCTACCAACTATTTTAAAAACTGATGAAATACAGTTCGAAACATCTATGGGCTGTCATTTTGTGGCATCTGCATTCTTCCTAAACACCCACAGTCTTCCTTCCTTCCCTCTCTCATGATTTCATCCCCATCACTTTTTTCTCCAGAATATCCAAGCCTAAAGAATAAGGAAAAGGTTCAGATGTGGAATAAAGGCACTAGATATTGTTAAAGGGTGCAAACTTGGAACTAGAAGATGAGTTAAGTTCTGGAGACTTAGTGCACAGGCTAGTGATTATAGTCAATAATACTGTATTATATACTTCCAAATTGCCAAGAGACTAGATCTTAAATCTCACCACAAAAAAAAAAAAAAAAAAAAAAAATTGGTAATTACATAAAGATAACTAATATTACTGGTGGTAATCATATCGCAATATATGTGTATCAAAGCAACAAGTTGTATACCTTAAACTTACATAGTTACATGCTAATTATATCTCATTTTTTTTAGAGATAAAGAGCTAGAGAATATTAAAGTTCAGGCAACCGGTTAGTAAGCTTGAAGTAAACATACATCAGCTTTAAAAAGTATGAAAATCAGAGCTACTCTTGCAGCCTAATGGCTCTAGTTTAAATGGTGACTACAGCAACTCTGCAAACAAAATTATAAGTCTTCTTCAGCATGGAGCAAGGTCAAGTGCTTGCATGAGCTGGAAGCCAAGTTGACTAGAGCTGGAGACCCAATTCTGCTACTTATTTGTCACCTCTACCTTTTCATCACTCAACAATATCATCAACTCTAGAATGCTGCTATAAGAAATATCATATATAACATACCCAGGTTTTGTAGGTAAGCTGCAGATGACTGGTACTTAATAAACGGGTGTTAAATACTTTGGTGTGGTTTATTATAATCCTTACAACTTTGTACTTTTGCAGAAGAAAGCACTAGAGAAAAATTTCTGTCTCAGGGTCTAGCTCTGTCAGTTTATATGCATGTTCTCCCTACTAAAACCCTCCCTCAGACAGATTAAAAAATATATATATATTCTATATTATGACCAGTAATTTGCAAGTAGCTCTTACATTTTGTCCTTAGGCTGAGAGCAATATCCATAGAAGATATAAAAGTATAATTAAGATGTCTAGCATCTTTACTGGAATGAGGCCCTAGCTCGTCTTAAAAGTCAAGCCTTTTATCACTGTATCATCATCCAGTTTGGATTTTGTTTAATAAAATAAAGTATAAATTATGATAGCTAAAAGACACCTATTGGAGTCAAACTTGTCACCAACATTCAAATATAAAAATACTTCAGTAGCATGTTCGTTGGGTTCTAGTGCATTAGGCTCAAACCCTCTACAAAGCTTATCTGGCCTTTCCCAATGCAACCACCACTAATCTCTGCAGCCTCATCTCTCATTCCTTCTGCCAAGCTCTCCAAATACATTATATTCTATACACTGTACTCTGTATATGCTGTTCCCTCTAACAGAAACATGCTTTTTATAAAATCTATAACTTGCAATAACAAATTAGTTTGGGATCTTTTAAAGAATATTCCATTCATGTTTAAGATGTCGTATTTCTAAAGAACAAGATTCTGCTGAAAAGTTAAATAACTTTGTAATTCCTGAACAAAACTAATTTTTGGAACTCCCTAGGCTCCCTAGACAACTATAGTAATGTGTTTAGAGAAATGAATATTGTTTTAAATAAACAGTCAAATAATTGTGACTTACTGATAATTCAAATCTAAAATTATTATAAGCATAAATGTAAAGAAGTTGACCCAGAAAACTAATAAAACACTAAGAGCCTAATGAAATAAAATATAAGGAACATCAATTAGTTTATATTTTGATAACACCTAGTCTCCATATTTTGATAACACCTAGTCTCCATATTTCTAAAGCTATATTCTAACCAATTAAAATAAATAAACTGCATACCACACCAAATGGAAGAAGAGCTTTTAAAAGGTAGAAAATTTCACTAGAAAAAGAAAGGTGCAAAAATGTTAGAATGAATTATAACCCTAAAGTATTAACTAACTATAACTGAAAATAAGCTAAAATCCATCAGGTCATTTTTATTTATTAAAAAGCAAATCAGGTTAGGTGGTATGGGGAGCAAAAAGCATTTTTAGGGCATGAAAATTCTTGGTATAATCCTATAATGGTGGATATATATTAGAAATTTGTCCAAACTCAAAATATGTACATCACCAAGAGTGAATTCTAATGTAAACTATGGACTTTGAGTGATAATGATGTGTCAATGTAGTTCATCAGTTTTAACAAATGTACCACTCTAGTGGGGAATATATTGATAATAGGGGAAACTATGCACGTGTGAGCCCAAGGAATATGTGGGAAATTTCTGTACCTTCCATTTCAATTTTTCTATAAATCTAAAACTGCTCTAAAAAATAAAGTCAATTAAAGAGGGAAAGCAAATCAGAAAAATTATAAACCTCTGCTAAGCATAGGAGACTAACTTTTTAAAATATATATGCCATTTATAATTAGCAATTCTAGAAAGACTAAAAACTACATGATAACGCTAGCATGATATGTAGCGCTGGATTTATATTTGAAACACTTTTCTTTCAGCATCCCATTAAGACCCCTTCACAGAATTTTTAAGTGTTCTCTCCTAACACCTTTAGACAACTTGTTTAAATAAACTGTATTCAACACCCATTCAGTTCATATATGCAGTCCCTTCTGAACACAAATTATTCATTCTCCACAAAGGTCTATTGAGTGTCTACTACACATAGAACATTTAGAGAATATAAAAAGTCCCTTACATTCAAGATCCCGTCTTAAGTTTTACAACCAGCCCTGGTAAAAATTCAAAATGTCCAAGGTAGTATACTCCAAGTACTCAAGTAGTAAAGACATTCAAACAGTCTGTCCTATTCTCCTTCTTGGAATACTTTTCTCCTGGCTGGATCCTTCTCATCTTTCAATTCTCAATATAAATGCTATCTCCTCAGAAATCTTTCCTGACACCATCTAGCTATTTTCTATCATAGCATTCCATTCTTTTCCTTCATTGCTATAGTCACATATTTGGTTTCTTGTTTCTAGTTTATTATCTGTATGCAATAAAAGACTGAATATTCCACATGCATACAGACTCCACTATATTACCAGTGACGAACAAAGCACATCAAACACTAGTTAAATGAATGCATAAATCCGGCACTCAGGAGAAAGGTATGAAAGGTATGAAAACTGGTGAGATCACCGGTGGGAGGTATGTGAGGTTAGAAGAGAATCTAGACTCAAGACCTAAAGAAGCTCAATATTTAGAGTTCAAGTAGAAAAGGCAAAGAAGAGTAGGGCAGATAAGTCAGATAAACCAAAGGGAAGCTAAAGATCAAGAAGTATTCAACTACAGAACACTGCCAAGAGTTCTAGAAAAAAGTGAACAGAAATAGATTCATTGGAGTTTATCTCATGGAGATTACTGATGACTTTAGTGAAAGCCATTTCAGGGTAGTGTAGAATCTGATGACAATTTTCATAGTGATTCCGAGATGATGAAGTAGAAGCACTATCTAATAGTTTAAATTGGGAAGGGCAAGAGATATGTGACAGATGGAGATCTTCAGTAACCAAGGAAAATGATCCTGAACACTCAAGAGGTAAAGAGAATAGCGTATCTGAATCGCATGAGATTCAAACAAGCAGGGAAAGCAATTCTCACAATCCTCAAGTACACCAGCATGATGAGGTAATCCTGAAAAGTACTTAAATGACTGGGCACTGTGAGCATTCAATAGTGTTAGTTGTTGTTAGATAACTAACTTTAAGTGTCCCAAGGAGGGCAGAGACAATGTCTGTTTTATCTATGCCTGCATTCCCAGGACCTAACACAGTACCTGGCACACAGCAGGTGCTGAATAAAAATTTCTAAGAGAATTCAGAATTCTGAATACAATCTTACCTATTGTAATAGTCACCTTGATTGTCTCTCTCCTCTAATCCATTTTTTTATTTATGAGATGGTTATGTCACGTAAGCATAAAAGTGTTAACTGCTATAAGTATTACTGTCATCAAGCCTCACTCCATCAGACTCAATTTCCTTGACAGAACTGTCTGCTCATCACATGACACGCTGAGTGCAGGAAGTAAGGCTAAATAATCATGAATCTGGATAAACGGCTTCTAACTAAAGAACTGTGACAAATATTTCACAGTAACTCCAAGGTCAACCAGCGTACCAGCCACCCTAAGCACGGAGATGCCAAGAAAGCGCTCCCCAGGGACAGGGGTCACAGCAGCCGCCTCCCCGGCAGGGGTCGCTGCAGCCTCCTCCGAAGGCCGTCCCCCGTCTCAGTCCCCATGTCAGTCCCCGCCCCACTCCCACC